CCACTTAATATATTTTCTAAAATCTAGCCCTAGACTATCAGGGTGCCACATTTAAAATAGGCAAACAATGTAATTCTATTACACACCATCAGCCAAAGGTCTGTCTTGCTGTATGGAGGTATCAATGTGTTCTAATGCCTGATATATCTGAAAGCATCTGTTGATCCATTGAGTGTATTTTACAAGTGCGGGTTATCCTGTTTGAAAGCAGTCTTTAGTTGAAGTTTTGGGGTTGGAAATCAACTTAGAATCCATAGCTCACCTCCCACTGTCTCTCTGTAGGGCTGTGGTTAGCTTCCTTGAGTTGGCCTCAAGCCTTATAAGGAACACATGCACAGTGGAACATAATGCTACCTGGTTCTGTGCCTTGACCCCAGATCAGTTTCGGATCAGGCCATAATTTTCAGAAGCAGGTAACCAGGCGTTTCTTCCTAGTCGGGTAGCTCTTCTGAAACTTTGACCTTTTCCCGTGTCAGAGCAGCCTTCTAACAGACAGGTGTTGGCAGGCAGCATCTGGAAATCAAACCCAGGTCTCCAGAAAGAAAGGCTGGCCTGCCAGTGTCTCAGTAAATAGGGTACGTGTGTTCCCATCAAGGTAATTCTGGTAGCCTAGTGGGTAAAGAGTTGCACTACCATCCCAGAGGCCGGAAGTTCGAATCTAACAGATGCTATGTGGGATAATAATAGACAGTCTTCTCCCATGTGATTTACAACCTCTGGAAACCTGCTGGAGGGTCAGCAATGAGTCGGTTCTGACTGCACAGCAATGTGTTGAGAAAGCTGTTCCCGTCAAGTCAGCTCTGACTCATAGACACCTACCTTCCTTATAAGCTAAAGTAGAACTTCCTCCTGGGGTTTCCTAAGCCACAGAGTTTACCGAAACGAACTTCCAAAACCCCCTCCTGCAGAGCAGCTACTAGGTTCAAACCACTAACCTTTCAGTTAGCAGCCAAGGGCTTAACTACTGTGCCACCAGAGATCCTGATGGATGTTCTCAATGGCTCAGGACCACCCCTCTGTCCGCCTCTGCCCAGTGACTGCACAGTGAGCTGTTTCCCTGGAGTCCTCGGGAGGTATGGGGCAGATGGCCTCTAAATTCACTCTTCCCAGAGCACAGCAGTTGGTGAGTCTGTTTCTGGTCTTACGGTTTGGCAGCCACTGACCTTACTTCCACCTGGGGCAGCAGGAAAAGTGCTAATTCTTTCCTAGTGGCACAGGCATGACATCCAGTTCCCTGCTATCCCATTCCCAGGAGCCACCCCTTGTAAGCTGGTTGTTTTTGTTGTTGATGATATGATATGTGGTGGTGGTGGTGGTGGTGGTAGTGGTGGTGATTACTAGTTGTGGTTGTTCAAGGATGCTTACCCTCATGGTGGTTCTGTGTGTAACACAGTGAAACCCTCCCTGGGCCCCTGCCATCTCAAAGGCTGGTGTGTGTGAGTCCGTCGTTGTACCCCCTGTGCAGTACCCTCTAGCCAAATCAGTTAATAGCCTGTACGCTCCACCAGGTTTCTTCAGCTACTTTTTAGAAGTAGGCCACCAGGCCTTTCCTTCTGGTCTGTCTTAGCCTGGAAGCTATTCTGAATCACCATGGGTGATTCTGCTGGTATTTGAAATGCCAGTGAACCCTGCATCACAGAAGCACACAAGTCATCCATATACAAACTGGCAGTTGGATGGTGTAATTGGATATAAATCCGGTTTAAAAACCAGCACTCTTTCAAGGGAGATGGTTGTGAGTAGGAGTCGGAGGCCAGTGTATGAAAGCTATATGTATTTGAGTCCAGATACTGTTATTTTATTTGGATGCTCTCTCCTGAGATCTCTTTTCTTGATCCTTTTAAATTCTCAAGGTGGGCAAAGCTATGGTGATGGTACTATTATGAGAATGAAATCAGAACAGGTCATGTCATGTTTATAAGCCCATTTATATCTATATAGGCATTTCACTTTCACTATTTAAACTGGTCATCAAGCGAGTACTTGTAGAAAAGACACTCGCTCAATTCATTGCGGGTGAATTGGAACCAACTCAGAGCTGACCCTCCAAGCAGGTTTTCAGAGGCTGAAAATCGCAGACAAGATTGCTCATCTTTCTCCCATGGAGCAGCTGGTGGATTCGAACCAGATAGTATGGGTTGGCAGGGAAACTCTTTACCCACTAGGCCACCACAGCCCTCTTATAGGTAAGTAGGTAGCTATTATTAATCTTATTTTCTGTTTATAGACTCGGAGAAGTGTGACTGGCTTGCTCAAAGTTCCAAATGTGGGAGATTCAGTAAAATCTCAAGTACTTTGTCTGAAGAGCTTTAAAAAAGAGATGGCCGTAAACATATTTCATCCAGTTTTTCTCAGTCTTACCCCCACCCCAATGCCAGCCTCATTCTACAACAGTGGCACCATATAGCATTTGTCCCTT